CCCCAAAACCCCAAAACCCCAAAACCCCATGCAGTGCTAATTATAAGATTAATGAAATTATGAATAAAATTAAGTATTATTCAGATTTTGATTCCTGGTCTATTATTTGAAATTGAAATGGACTAGTCAAATCTTTATCTAGTTAGAGGACACTCACTTGGATCTTTGGCGCATCTTTGATGGAAAACTCCACCATTAGGATAAATTCTAATATTGTTGGGCTTTAATTTTCTATTGCAAACTTTGCAAATCATCTCTTCTCCTACCACAAGGTATGCAGATTTAAGATCATTTAGTTCATGCTCTGCATTTAATTGCTCCATCAGTGATAAGTTTTTAGAAATCTTTGAGTTCTCTTCAATTGTTAATTAATGGTCAAAGATAGAGGAAAGTAATGAAACTAGGTTGCATTCTTCTCTAATTAGATCCCAATCTTCGGGTATTAGGTTCAATACAGTAAGAGGGTCTAGTTGATTTTTAGCAGAGTTATTTCTCATAAGCTTAAGGGCTAGAGTGCTGTATTACTTAGCCTAGCGTCTGCACTTATCGGAGTCCACTGGCTTATTATCTGAGTCTGCATCTTTTGCCTTTTTAATATACTCTTCATAATACTAGAAGTAGATAGTCAATAGCGTATTCAAAAGACCTCTAGTTAGGCAAAATTCCTAAGCTTTTTCAAACTACCCATCGTCAACTAATTTTTGAACCGCCTCCTTGTGTCTGTTCTCTTTAATTAAAAGAAGAATGTACTCATCAGTCATCCATGAATTTGAAATTTTCTCAAGCAATACAGTTGAACTAAATTGGTCATTTTGAGACTTATCTTACTTATATTATGTCTTAGTGTCCAAAAAGTTGTCTAATTTTTCCTTATATAATTTCAACTCTGTCTGCTTATCAGCTACAAGTAATAGATTTTAAATATTGGTAAAAATAAGATTTAGGAATTATTACTTGATTTAAACTTTGGAGGCTAGAGCTTGAAAAGTCTATCGATATATAGACTGGCTAATAAAGTGAAGAATCTATCAGGAACATCTCCAGTCTTAATGATGTATTCCAAATAAGCTTCTGAGTATGAAAATCCATCCTTTTACGGAGATTCTTTTTCTACTTATTCTAGATACTCTAAGACATCATCTGGTTTCATATCTACAGGCTACTCTCCAGTCTTTGGATCAACAGTAAACAAAGTCAAACCAATTTTAGGAATAGTTTCAAGCACCCATTTCCCATATTGCTTAATCAGACTAATATCTTTTTTCTGTTTAAGGATGCTTACTGTTCTTTCACATCCCTCTGTTTGATTAATGGCCTCAGTTCTTAGTTAAAACCATATCTTTAGGGCTTATGCATAGTTATCAATATTTTCATTAACTAGAGCAAGAGTAATGCTGTTAATGGGATCTGATCTAAGTTTCGTTACATACTCTTCAAGTTCTCGAGCATCTAAGTAAATCGATCTTTGAAAATTCTGAAAGAATTGATATATTTTGTCTTTCTCTTTCATTTCAACGTACAGCTTCATGAGATTAGTTTAGACTAGTGAAATCATATCTTTCAGATAAACCTTTTTGTCCTATTTGATGCATCCAGCAATCTAGGAAAATTTGCTATACAAGAATTTCACTTCTTTATCAAGGTCCTTTTTAATTTCTCCTACAAACTTAGCATTTAAAACCTCAAACATGCTAATAATTGCAAGCTTAGCCTTATTTAGCTTTTCTATCAAGTTAAACTTCTGTTAAGAATTCATGTTTACAGTCTCAACTTTAATGAAATGTTAGGTAAAGAAATTAAGATTACTTATTTTTTACATGAATACTGTTGGTCTACGATTCAAATCATCTAGCTTTCCACTAGATTCACTTAATTCTTTGAAAAGCAACACAAATTCCCTATAAACTTTACAGAAATGAATGTTACCTTGGGTCAACATCTGTTTACTTAAAGTTAGATACTGCATTTTCAAAATCTAGTTTTTCATTCAGATAAACCCAGCCAGCATCTAAATTGAATTACTTAAGTCTTTAGTTAAAATTTTAATCTTTTTTTTCCTTTGTCAAAAAAACTTCTTTCGCCTCTTGAATTCTGGCTTAAGATAGCAAGTATTCAATTTAATCCTAGGGAGGAATTTCCATCAACTGATGAACTTCAGATAATGCTACATTTTTACCTCCTGATGAATGATGTGAATAAGCATATATTTCATTCCCAGCGAAATTCACCACTGCATTCTTATATTTAAGTTTCTGATCTAGTCTTCCTCTTTCTTCAAGGAAATCTCCAGTTGCAGCGTTGTATATAACGATTGAGTTTTCGTAAATTATAAGAACATACATCTCCTACATTACTATAGTCACTATTTGCTTGGTTTGATCTATCCTAAAGACAATTTATTTCTTTGTACCTGTTTCATCCAAGAACAAAGCCTCAGTTGGATTTGCAAGGATAAGGCATTTAGTTTTTGAAAGGGTCATGATAGGTAAACTCAGTTTGTCATGAGGAATAGATTGGAGAACCGTCCCTGCTTCTTTCTGCATAATAATGTAAGCCTTTTTACTGGCAATATAAATCAATTAATCATCCCAGTCTAAATATCATATTATCTGATAAAATAAATACAAAGATGAAGGGGATTGCAGGCGATGAACATTCCTTTGTCATTTTTTCTCTCCTCCTCAAACTTAAATTATCCGCTAGTAGTTGTAAGCTCATAAAAGAATAAGTATTTATCAGTAGTTGCAACACAGATTTGATCAGCAGTCATTGTTTATCCACTAGCTGAATGAGGTTTGTAAACTGCATTATTGAGACAGAAAATATGAGCCTTTCTGGAAAAAGTTTGGATTGTTTTGAGATCATTAGCCTGAAATATCTAAATAACGTTTCCGACCAAGACCGCAATCATTAATGATCTAGGCAAGTATTTGGCTTAATCAATTTTAGCACTGCCTCTCTAAATAGTAGCATTATTAGAATGAAAATCTTACTTTTCCACCTTCATTCATGGGATCATAAATACACTACAAAATTTATTAGCGATATACCTTTAATTACTTTCTTTTTATCTTATGAGCTTATTGTGATTTCATATGGGTATACGTATCCTTTCTCAGATCCAATAATGAGAACATTATCTATTTATTGTTTAATCAATTAGTTTACCATGAACATCAATTGCTGATATCTTAAAATCTTTAACTTCAAATGCTGAGGTGAAGTTATAAACATTTCTTTCCTTTGAAGCTGGATAAGATTCCATTTATTACAAGCAATAACAATTATTATAATCTATAAAATCATTCAATATTAATCGATATCCTTAATGCAGGGGTTTTGGGGTTTTGGGGTTTTGGGGTTTTGGGGA